AATTTCCGATGAGGTGGCAGTCAGGATCCCAGCCCAGCAAAGCCTTTTCCTGCCGCATGCCACTCACAGCAGGCTGGGAAGCAGTGCATAGACAGTGGGAGCAGCAATGTGTTCACTGAGGCTGCCAACCAGAAGCCCCTGCCGAAACCCCCAGCCCTGGCCTCTGGACCCCATTGGGGCCTATCACCTTTTGAGGGACCCCTATACTGACTGAGACACCCCTCGTAGGATGGATCTCACAGATCAATTTATTTCTATTAAAAACAAGGTGGGTATGATGGCTTATGGTCCCAGCTTGTTGGGAGGCTGTGACAGGAGGATTGCTTGAGTCCAGGAATTTGAGGCTATAGTGCACTATGATTGCACCTGTGAATAGCCACTGCAGTCCAGCCTGGGCAACACAGTGGAAACGACGACAAAATATACCACCACCCAAAAGAATAAGGAACTGGAGAATTCTCGTACACCTGAGATTGTAGACTGAGAGTCTTACCCACTACGCGTATTACGAGGCCAGTAAATAAGACAACAAACCATTTTGATGAATACAAAATTCTTCAATTGCAAGTTGTGAATGACACATGCCATTCTATATCAGCCTCGCCCTCTAAAGTGCTTCTTTATTGGAGGCTGTTTTTGCGTATTATGAAGGAAACCCTCGTTTATACTCATAGGTAATACTGTGTTCAGCAGGAGGATGTGATGAGCCAAATACAGAATGTGGGAAATTATACAGGACAAATCATCCAGTTTCTTCCTTTAAAAACTGAAAAGAAAAAAAACCTATAAATAAAGGAAACTTGAGAGACATTTCAACCAAATGCAATGTGTGAATCTTCATCCAAACAAAATGTAAAATAACATTCAGGAGACAATCAGGGGAAATTCGTGTGCTGACTGAATATTCAATGATATTAAAGAACTGAGGTCACATTTTTTAATGTGATAATAGTATTGTGCTTTCATGTTTTTACAGAGTCCCTATGCTTTAAAGGTACATATTAAAATGTTTACAAATAAAATGATATAATATCTTGGATTTCCTTTGTCAACCTTAACTCATGAGATTGAGAACATATAGTTAATTATAGAAAAATTCTATAATTCAAGTGCAAAGCTTGAAGATGGCCGTACAGAAACACAGAGTCCAAATAAGCAGGGTCAGTGTTCCAAAGTAGAAAAGTTAAGGTTTTACTTGTGTAGGTAGAGACGGAGAAGTTTTAGCAGGATTACAATATTTTCCATATCAGACCAGTACATATGTTATAGTTATTTGATAACTACAAATATTTGATTGCTACATTCCAAGGAGGATTTATTTATTAATTTACTACTGTGTGAAGAGGGGTAAAAATCTGTGGGGGGTCTTATCTCTGGTGCTGCTTGGCCTTTCCAATTATTTACAGGAAAAAAAACAGAAGTTGCAGCTGCATGCCACGTGACTCAGGTCACACAGCCACATCCCTTTCAAGACTCAGAATACTTTCAAGTTCCAACAGCTTTAAGTTTGAATTATTTAATTTCACACCTTCAAAGTACTCCATCAGAAGAGATAGGAAGTGGTCAGGTATATACTTGAAATCAAATTAGTCGTGAGTTGATCTGAAGCCATCTTCACAGGTTTAACAAGAATTCTGGATAGAAATATAGTTATGGGTAAGCAGTAATCAGGCTGCACTTTGACCCATTTCCTTGTAACCACAAGTCATGTGTCAGTAGACACTGACTGTTTGTAGCCCCATTCTTCCTATTGATAGGACTTCTAACGTTAGCATCAGAAGGCTTTTGTGTAAGAATTGCTTATGATGTTTTTGGGATCCCTAATTCCAGTAAAACAGATGATGCCAACCAATCTGAAGGCCCCCACAGAGGAACAGAATCATCATGAGAATACGATTTCTTCAGCTCCCTGTCCCATGATTTTACACTCTGCACTCTTCAATCATCCAACCAATGATTTCCACACTTTAGCCCACTCCAAAACTCTTAAGAACCCTAGTCCCAAACTCCTCTGGGAGATGGATTTGAGGTTTCTCTCATCTCCTCGTTCAGCAGCTCTACAATTAAACCTCTCTCTGCTGCAATCTGGTGTATCAGTGTTTTGACTCACCATGTGCTTCAGGCAATAGACCTATTATGGTTACAGATCATTGTTGAATCTAAGTTACAAATGCATAACGTTTCTTATACCAGTCTCTCTACTTTTGAAAGTATCTGAAAGTTTCTACAATAAAATGATTAAAAGAAAAGATAATGACACCTCTCGCACCCTTTCTCTCCCTCCCCACACCAAAGAGTGAGGTGGAAGGCTTGTTAGTTTTTCTTCTGGGGCAGTACGGAAGGGGAATTAACCAGACTGAAGGCCCCTGGCAGCCAGTGTAGGGAAAGAAGATCCTGAAGATTTGAGGTAGTGGTGGCAACTTTGGATTAAGGAAAACCAACTGAGGCCTGGAGCTAGTAATAAAAAAATAAAGACCAAGGAACTGTGCTGAGCTCAACAGCTGCAAGGTCTGTTCCTATTAGCTTGCCGGACTTTGCTCAACAAGCCTGTAACCAATCCTGAGTACTGAACTCTGAACAGTAAAAAAAAAAAAAGCTATTCTGCCTATTTCAGAAATTATCAATTACTTATCAATTACACATACAACACTGTGCTAGTTGAGGTAGGCTCATGAAAAGACCGAGGACACAATCCTAGCCCTTGCGAAGTTCACAACATTAAAAGAAGGCCCAAAACTTGGAAAGCAGTATTGCTGCTACAGCATGAATGTACAAACATACACAAGCAACATGGAAAACTGGAGGAGAACCCAAGTTTGCCCGTAGTTACCCAAGGCGGGTTTCACCAAAAAAAATAGCTTTTGAGTTAACACTTGAAGACTAACTTAGTGTTTGCTGGGACAAGAGCCAGGAGCAGGTCATTGGAGAAAGAAGTAAATGAATTTGCAAGACATAACATGAAACTGCAAGGACACGTTTTTGGGAACTACAGTATTTGTTTTGCTGCAGCATAAAGGGTGGTGGTTGAGGCGTCCCTAAAACCCGTTCTCAGCCTGCATAGACCACGATAATTTAAGCCTGAGGCCCTTTGGGCCTTTTAAAATTCAGTTTCCTGACGGGAAAGGAGAGGAGATCCAACTTCACGGAAAACTTACAGGCTGTGGGTCAGACTGCATTTTGGAGCACAGAGACAGTCCAAGAAAGACAGCAGCAAAGCGGAAATGGAGAGGGTTTAAGGCCCAACAAAAAACGTGTGATGCAGGCCAGGGGCACTGGCTCGGGCCTGTAATCCCAGCACTAAGGGAGGCTGTGGTCAGGAGTTCAAGATCAGCCTGGCCAACATTGCAAAACCCTGTTTCTACTAAAAATACAAAAATTAGGTGGGTGGCGCCCTCCTGTAATCCCAGCTACTCCGGAGCCTGAGGCAGGAGAATCGCTTGCACCTGGGAGGCAGAGGTTGCAGTGAACCAAGATGGCGCCACTGCACTCCAGCCTGGGCAACAGAGCCAGACTCTGTCAAAACAAAACAAAACAAAACAAAAAAACACGTGATGCGGGCAGCAACAACCTACTTCCTACAGTTATAGACCCTTAACACGGGAAGATGAGTCTATCTGAAATCAATGTTCTGAACTTCCTTTCTGACAGCAGTAGGCTTTGTACTCACAGTAGTTTTACATGGATTCTGTATCACTGGGTATTGATATCCAAACAACAAATCCTTTTCCCTTTTTTATTGACATACAACATAGGTGTTCATTTAGGTAGTCTGATGCCCAAATGAGCACTTACGTTGTATGTCATCAGTAGCAGGCATCAGACTACCTAAATGACACTTACGTTGTATGCCTATGCCTGATTATTTCAAAATTACAGATTACACATAAAACACTATAACAAAAATGGCTGATGTAAATATACTTAAGCTGTAAGGAATCAACTAGCACCATAATATTGGTAGCAAAAGGCAGTTGGATAGTGTGTGCGTAACTTTGGTTTTTTTTTTTTTTTAATTGCCTCTCTAGTCGCCCAGGCTGGAGAGGAGTGGTGATCTCGGCTCAATGCAGCCTCCACCTGCGGGGCTCAGGTGATCTTCCCACCGCGGCCTCCCGAGTGGGAACTACCGGCGGACGCCAACAGGTTTGGCTAATTAACTTTGAAACGATTTACACAAGGCCTCTGCCATGTGCCTTGCACAATAAACTCTCCACAAACATCTGTTAAGCGATTTTACTGAACCGCGGCCCACGGCTGCTTTCAGGGAAGCTTCCCGTTTCTCTGGAGTTACTTCCCCCCACT